CAGATCGCCGGCCCCAGCAAATGCATAATTCAAAGTATAGTTTCCAGTGAGTGTGTATCCCCTGAGCACCATCGTAAGGTAAAAATATCGTAAAAGGGGGCCCATGAGTTCACTACTCTTCAAGAGCATATCTGTTGTGCATAGAGAAGTCCACTTGTAATCCCTCTTTCTCTCCGTTAGACCACGAACATCTGAAACAGATTTGTCCGTGTGTGTGTTGGGGGATGGCATACACATCATTCCTTTCACCCCAGCACGGGCTCACAAACAGGGAAATGGCCATAATTTATTCCCTGACACATTCAGTGATTCACTGACCACTGATTAAGCACTATATGTATCAGACATGATACCGAAGATGAAAAAAAAAAACAAACCAAAACCTGAATAAAGCATTGTGCCTGCCTTCAGAGAGCTTCCCCCTAAGGAAAAGACAAGCAAAATGCTGCTTTTCATGATGGTTGCAGTGATCTGTGACAGGGCCAAGGGCTCCTAGCAGCAAGGATCTTTGACCCCGGGGGTGGGGAGAGTCAGGGAAGCTCGTTGGAGGACATAACTCCTAAGCTGAATCCTGAAGGTCATATAGGAGTCAGGGTGAAGGGACGGGCCAGGAGATGAGATGGCATGGAGCCTCAAGCGGGTGAACGGGGCTCTTCAGGATCTGAAATTGCTCAGTAAGATTGGAGCGTACCCAGTGCCTGAGGGGTGGGAGGCAGGAGAGTTGATTACGCAGCTTCGTTCGTCCACTAGGGGGTGATGGAAACCCAGAATCCCGCACACTGCCGCTTGGCAGTGAGGTTAGAGAGAGGAGGCACCATTTAACTGGAACATGCCCTTCCCATCCATCAGGGCGATGCACAGATACAGAGGGCGCCCCATTCCCCCACATGAATATAATTTCAGTGTTTTCCAGGGGGGGTTTCTAGGGATCACTACCCTTTCAAAAGAGGGGGTCTAGGGGAAAGGATTTAAGAAATGCTACCTGCAATATTCTCCTCTTAGACATTCATAAAAGACACATTAACATGGTAAGGCTCTGAGAAGTCCTGCAGTAAAGCCACCAATTCAACATTGCAGTGCGGCTCAAATTTATTTTATCTTGAAATTTCTTCCCCTCAAGATCCCCGTTAAAACCTCATGGAACACTTCAGAAAAGCTGGATAGACTTGTTCCTCAGGCCTCCATTCAGCGCCTGGTCAGAGCAGACAGCACTCTGGGTTTGGGGCTTGGGCTCTTGTCTCTCCTTTCTAGAGTGCCACTGGATCAACTCCGAGCCCACGGACAGCTGTCGTGCCTGGCGCCGGCAGTACGGGCCTCATTGTCGGGAGTCACGTGGCCACCCCTGCCCCCTCAGGTATGAAATACTTGGCCAAATGTGTGGTCATGGCTGCCTCAGAGACGAAGATTCCAAGACCAGCGTCTCCAAAAACGCAGGTGAAGTTAGTAAGCAGAACCCCAGACCCCAGGACCACACGAGCTCTGCGTCTGCTGGGGGGTTGCTGGTCTTACTCATGGATTCTCAAAGGAGGGCTCGGGCATTTTTGCAGGGCAGGAAGCTCTTTCCTGGTTCATCCACCCACTGGGTGTTCAGGTGGGGCTGTCTCCAGCACACAGGATGGCTGACAGCAGCGCTAGGAGGACACTCTGGGATAAGCCACGAGACTTCGGCACAGAGCCAGACATCCCTGTCTCCTTCTACGGAGAGCCCCAGCCCATACGTGCTGATCTGCCCCAATGACGCAGCTACGACATCTGAAAACGTTGCCTGGGTCAGGCTGGGCCCCCATCCCCTAGTCCAGGATCCAGGGGGCCTTCGGTTGAAGAGCAGAGGCTGTCCCGCCCCTCACAAGCGTCCACCACGAATGCATATTGACGGCCTTTGTCAGTCTCCTGGTATACTTCATGTACAACCTCTTGGGATAAGTTCTGTGCTGCTTCCTCGGTGTCTAAAGAAGTACTGCCTTTTCTTTAGTCTTCGAACATCTCACGTCTCAAGCGCCGCCCTGCCCGTTGCTGTTGAGAGAGTTGCTGAGAGGACCGTGTGTGTTCCAAGCCAGTCCCTTCCTTTAGATCATTGATGATGACATCTGGGCTTCCTCTTTCTGGGCAGAAGGCATTCTCCCATTGATTCATTAGCTCGTGTGTGTCTTTTATGTACTCATTTATTCCACAAATATCTATTGACGGTCCTGCATGTACCTGGCACTTTCTAAATGCTGGAAATAGTAGACAAAACAGACAAACCTGCTTTCTTAGGGTAGATAATAATTTTTTTTAAGTAGAAGATACAACATGGCATGCAGGAAACCTTTCTAGGCCCTCAGGGAGCTTTCAGAAATACAGACATAAATAACTGGTGTCTTGTTTGGGAATGGTTGCTTCCAAAGAACAGAACCCCACTCTAACTCAAGTAAAAACAGGACAGATGATACTGTTAAGAATCAGATGTCCTGCAGAACAAAGGGCAGGAAACGAGCAATCAGCTCAAGGCACCAACTCTTGGGTACGTGTACATTCTCATTCACTCTCTTTCCTCTTTCTCTTTTCTCTGTCCCACCTTCCTTCCTTACTCCCTCCTTCCCTCCTCCTCTCTCTATGAAGGGATGTGGCTAGGGGAGGAAACGGATGGCAGCTTTACTTCAAGTGGACACAGAATAGAGAGGAATTAGGGCAGAAGAGAAGTGTGAGCACAGAAAAGGCGGTTGGTGTTGTGAGGCCGGAGGTAACTTAGAGCTCCATGGAATCAGGGAAGGCTTTCTGGAGGAGGTGCTATTTGAGCTGGGTCTTGGTGTTAGGGCTAGGCTTTTGGATGCCCAATGGAGAGCAGGGGCCACACCCAGAGCAGAGCCCCTGGAGCAGAGGGAGGACGGGAGGTAGAATCCTGCTAACTCAGAGCCCTGGGGAAGGGGCAGAAAGGATCCTGATCCTTCTACTTATCATCCCTCCCTCGCTATGATGCCTTTAGTTGGGTTTCTCTTCTCCTGAGTCCCACAGCTCAGATCTGCGGCCTGGACTATAGAAGTAGATGGGGTATGGTGGAAGGGGACCAAGGGAGGCAGGATTATTAAATCATTGCTGGGATGGGCAGGGCTGGGAGAAAGGCTGCCCAGTGCAGGCCAGAAAGTCATGCACTGGGACCCAAGTAGTGCGGTTTGAAGGTTTCACCAGGTGGCAAGGGGCTCGGCAGCTGCCTCGCACCCATCTGTTAATGACCCAGGTGTCAAGTCAGCCAGCTGCAGGGGCTTGGATGGAGAAGGCAGATGACAGGTGTGGGCCTCCGGTCTGCCAGCGATTTGCTGATTGCACCAAGCGACTCAGTGTGTGCCGGGTTCCTCTGCATTTCTTACCGACCATCTTGTCGGCCATCTGTGAGGACCTAATGAGGAGTGCCCTCAGAGAACTCTGGGCAGGTGAGCTTCCTGGAAGAGAGGGCGAGTTATGCACCATCTGCTCCTGGAGGTTAAAAAGGCTGAGGCCTCGAAAGGGTGAGGGGAGAAGGGTTCATAATAAGCATCGACCGTGGGCCAGTGCTGTCACATAAGTAATCTTGTGTTGGCTTCACACCAAGTCAGAACAGTGGGGACTTTTCCTGCTTCTTAAGGAGGAAACCGAGACTCAGAAGTTAAGATGCCTGCGTGAGGTCACACAGCAAGGTGGCGGAGCTGGGATTTATTTCTTTCTGACCCCAAAGCCCGTGTTCCTGGCCTGCCAGTCCGTGTGCCTCCCCAAGACCTGAGAGTCCTGTGGCAGGTCCTTGGGGCGGCTTCTGCTTTGGTCTGAGGCTGCCTGCAGAGGGCACGGGTTTCTAGGTTGTGCTGATGGAGAAGCTGCTGTTCTCCCTTACACAGGCCTCTCCTCTGCTTCTCAGTGATCTCAAGACGGGTCCTCAGAGCAGTGATTTCTCTAGCGATATGTTGCAAGTGGCTTCCCACAAGTTCAGACGTGGGACAAGTCAGCACGTCCCTGAGTGCACCTGCCACACGCCATGTAAGCCAGAAATTACACGGCTTTCCCATAATCCGAGGTCAGCCCAGGGGAAAACCCTGTCATCTGTTGCTCTTGCTGCACTCAGGGCCAGATTCATGGACTGGTTTGCTGACTGTCTGTCCATCCTGTGCATGAAGCATTGTTCTCATCAGTGAGTACTTGTGGGACGTCTGATGGGTCTGGGGTTGGATGGCTCGGATACGAGTCGCTTACGGCAGACTTGTCTTTTATGTGACATTTAGCTACCCTGAACCTTGGTTTTCCTCTTCTCTGACATGAGAATGTGTCCCAGGGGCCTTACAGTGCCGCTACAAGGAATACATGAAGTAACATTCAAGTGCTTTATGGGCCATCCGGGCGGTTGTTAGTGTTCGGACAAGGCCGTGTGCAGGGCCATGGGCTCTTCCCCCGTGAGCCGCCTGAGGACAGGAGAGGCTTCCAAGTGAGACTTGCTTTTGCTTTCACAGCCAGCCGAGCTCACTTAAGGGTCCAGATCTGCAGACGGCCCTGGCGGTCTTAGCCGTGGCCCTGCCTGGGGACTTGTCTGAACTTTCTTGCCCTGGAATGTGGTGTAGACCAGGGGTGCTCATGCATGCATCACCTGGGAAGCTTGTTACAGATTCAAGGGCTTCCTGTCTGGAGGTTCTAATGCAGCAGGAGGCGGGGTCAGAAAAATGATTTTTGAAAAGCTGGACTGCAGGCAAGGACAGGTTCACGAGGGCCCAGCTCAGGCGCCAGGACGGTCCCCGGAGGGGAGGCCATTTGGATCTCCAGCCTCCCTCCGGGCATTTGGGGAGGGAGAGCTGGGGTTTGTTTCTCTTGAAGAGGATGAGGGCAAGAGTCAATTCCTGGGAACGAGGGTCAGGGTCGGGGAAGGCAGGGCGGGCAGGCCCTGAGCAAAGCCCCAGGAGGCCCAGTAGGGGCGCGGTTGCGGGGTGAGTGCACGCAGCCCTTGGGGGCCCCAGACGCTGACTGCCCAGGGGCTGAGCTTTGCGGTCTTTGTCTCGCTGCAGATCGTGTTCCGGAAGATCAGCGACGTGAAACGGGAGGAGGAAGAGCGCCTGAAACGCAAGAATGAGGCCCCCCTGATCCTGCCCCCGGACCACCCTGTCCGGCGACTCTTCCAGAGGTTCCGGCAGCAGAAGGAGGCCCGGCTGGCCGCGGAGCGGGGCGGCCGCGACCCCGACGACCTGGACGTGGAGAAGGGCAGCGCCCTCCCCGAGCACGCCTCGGCCAACCACAGCCTGGCGAAGGCCAGCGTGGTGACCGTGCGCGAGAGCCCCGCCACGCCCGTGGCCTTCCAGGCGGCCTCCGCGGCGGTGGCGGACCACGGCCGGCTGCACGCGCCCGGGGCCGAGTGCCTGGGCGCCAGGGCGGGCGGCGACTGCGCCCGGCGCAAGGGCTGGGCCCGCTTCAGGGATGCCTGCGGCAGGGCCGAGGACTGGAGCCAGGTGGCCAAGGCCGAGTCCATGGAGACGCTGCCCGACAGGACCAAGGCGTCCGGAGAGGCCACCCTCAAGAAGACGGACTCGTGTGACAGCGGCATCACCAAGAGCGACCTGCGGCTGGACAACGTGGGCGAGGCCAGGAGCCCCCAGGAGCGGAGCCCCATCTTGGCGGAGGTCAAGCACTCGTTCTACCCCATCCCCGAGCAGACGCTGCAGGCCACCGTCCTGGAGGTGAAGCACGAGCTGAAGGAGGACATCAAGGCCTTGAACACCAAAATGACGACTATTGAGAAACAGCTCTCTGAGATACTCAGGATATTAACTTCCAGAAGATCCTCTCAGTCTCCTCAGGAGCTGTTTGAGATATCGAGGCCCCAGTCCCCAGAATCAGAGAGAGACATTTTTGGAGCAAGCTGAGTGGTCTGTTTAAAAAAAAGAAAAGAAAAAAAGTCAAAGATAAAACCCCACCTCCCTGCCCTCGACAACCCCCCCCCCAACCCACACACACACACACCTACATGACCAACAACTTCCAAAGTGGGCTTTTCCTTTCGGGAAATCTGAGCGGGACCAGTCACTTAGGCACGCGCACGCTCTCTCGCTCTCTCGCTCGCTCGCTCACTCGCTCTCGCTCAGTCGGGGAGCAGACGTGGGAAGAGGCGCGTGCTACCACCCTGCAAGACCGCAGCGGCTCTCGAACTGTCGGCACAATTTTGGAAGAGGGGGCATGCTGTCTAAAGGGTCTTTTCCTTTATTTTTAATGTTTTAACTGCCACGATCTTTGTAAAAGATGACAACCACTAGAAAAGAGGAGCAGCTATTTGGGGGTTGGTGGGAGCGCCCCGGAGAACCTCCCATGTAGACACCAGGCTGGGCTCCTGCGCCAGGAACCCCGAAGACTGCGGCGGGCACGGGGATTTCCCAGCATTCCCTGTCCTTGTACAGCCCATGTCTGTCGTCACCTTATCTTTTCCTACAGTAGTCATGTGTAACAAGCCCGGGACAAGGGGAGCTTGAGGGACAGGGAGGGCAGAGCCTTGCAACTTTCGGTCTCTAATGGTTAAGGCCAGAAAGCAGTGAGGTGCTCTGGGTGCCTCCCATTGACACCAAGAGCCAGGAATCCTCGGGTCTCCTTTCCCAAGTAGAAGAGCTGGAGAGGGGCCTTCAGGAAGCAGAGACTCTCTGGGCTGTGATTGGCAGCCTACTGTCGTGGGAGCGACCACGGGGAGGGTTCCAGAGGCCTCAGGTGTACCTCTGGCCCTGCTCCGTGCCACTGTCCTCATCATCTGGGACCTTTGCTTCTTTTCTTTCTCAGCTCCCCCGCCCCAGTGTCCCGTGGCCTTCCGCAGGGTGTGCGGCATCGGCAGGAAGGGCGATGAGCCCAGAGCTGCTTTATTAGCAAAGCAGACACACACATACAACCTCAGAAAAATGATTGTAGCAAGTCCTATGTTTATATTATGATTCTCACTGGGATTGATGGCCCTTCAGGAATTTGTATTTTGTCCACTGCGTTGGGATCACTAGAGGACCCTTGGGATCCGTGCTCGGCCTTATTTTAAAACTAACTTTTTTTTCTCCTGCTACTCAGTAGGACTTCAGGAGAAACGACGAAGACTGCAGGGCCACGGTTGTACTTGCTTCAGGAGCAGCAGAAAGAGAATGAGGCGGCAGGTTGTCCAGCTGGCTCTGTAGGGTGACGGAGAGAGGCAGCTCAGGGAAGGTCTGAGCTCAGAGCGATGGTCACAGAGCCACCTGCGGGCCATCCAGGTCCCTATGCCATGAGGCTTGGGGACACTCCACTGCCTCCTAGGCATGTGGGGCCAAATTATTCATGTGTTTGGGCTTCCAAGGGCATCTGAGAAAGGAAAGAGGTCTCTCCCAGGCCCAGTGGAACTAGCTCAGGTGTACACCTTGCAGAGAGGGTCAGGACCCTAAAACTTGACAAGCAAGATTGGAAGTTCAGCTCTAAGAACTAGCTTGGAGAGAGAATTAGGAGTGCGGGGGATCTGGACTCTGGGTGACAGCAGGGACCCATCCAGGGCGCTGGCTTTCTGCATCACCTCACCCTAGCACCTGGCATAGCTTTGCCGCACAGATCCTGAGCCAGTGTTAATCCCCTCAGTACTGAAGGGGACCTGCCAGGGTGGGACCTGCCCTACCAAAGATACTCCGTGGTTCTGAAGGTCTCCTGTCGGGGCCCACCTACCCACCTGCCCCTCTGGTCCTGCTCAGTGGCCATGACAGGTCCCAGGACTTGGCCTTCAGTTGTCTGTGCAGAATGGGGCTGTCCTCCCCTGGCTCCCAGGACTGGCACAGATGGCCCTGGGGAACAGAGGTCCAGAAGGTCGAGAGAAGGTTCCTTCCCCAGGGGTCCTGTGCACTTACGCAGCTTCTCATGGGAGGCTTACCGGGGTGGCTCTTGGCTTCCCAAGGCTGCAGTGTTATTCGATTTAGCCTCAGATGGCAGCATACAGAGGGGGAAGTCTATAATTTCGAAAGGCTGAGTCCTGACTGTGACTCTGGATAAAGCATTGAGACTTTCGGTCTCCTTGAGAAGCTGCCCACTAGTCCAGAGGCTATAAAAGATCTGGAATCCCATCTGCCCCAGAATGTTCTAGTTTGGCATTCCTTCAATGTGCTCATTAGCCCGCTTCTGAAGTTTAGTCCCTACTACTTTCAAGTCAGGGGTCAGGGCAAGGGCCCTAATAACTCCATCATCCAGCTTCAGAAGCACCTGCCGGTTTCTCTGTGGGCTTGATGACGGGCTCCTGTCCAGCGCCCTGCAGGCCAACCTAGAGGGGCCCTTCCCTTCCTCACTGGCTCTGCCAGAGGGCGCAGGTGTTTACTAAGAAATGACTCCCCATTGGGGCCTAAGGGACTAAGACACCGATGTGCCAGGCTTGAAAGTCCACACTTGTTTTGGGGGAAAAATAAAGCTTCATGAATGTACTCGTGGACCGACTCCTAGGATTTGGATGGGGCTCATGACTGGAAGCCTGGATCCTGCGGGGGGAATGTGCTCCTCTCGGGGTCGCAGGGCCCCCACGTGAGCCTGTGGTGACAGATCACCACAGTGCAGCTGTGCATGCTTTCAGCCCTTCCCACTTAAGGATTATAGGGACTTTCGCTTTGTTTCCTCTGAAAAAAAATTTTTTTTTAAATGAGCCAAACCTTCTCTCTTTTCACCTTTATGACATGCACTTGGCCGTGGGCTGCTTTGTGCTAACTACCTACTTTCGCCTGGACGCTGCTCTGGCTTCCCGAGCAGGGCACAAGCTTCAGATACTGACTGAACCTTCCACTGTCCAGTGGCTGAAGAGAGGTTAGGGAAACACAGAGTCACCAGGTGTTGGACCGAACATTTAGACTTTAGAAGTTGTGCTGAGAGAGATTTACCTGAGTTCTTTGTTCCTTTCCGAGGGAAGGGGACATAATGTATTACACCGTCGCCCAGTACTTGCTGGTTACCTGATCTGGTACTTAAATTCCTTACCTTGAATGTTACCCGTAGGGAGGCTCCGCTTCCCAGAGAGTGTCCCTGCTTTGGAGCTGAAGGTCCTGCCCCAGCACTGGGCTGCTTGTTGACCACGCTCTCCTCATCCCCACTGATGGAGGTGTGGGGGGGAGGGTTGAGTCTGTGAAAGTAGGCGGCCAACGAGATGGTGCGCTCGTTCTCGGTGGAGGACGCGGACTCCAGCATTGAGTGCTGCGGGCCCATATACCTGCAAGGACGCCTCCACCAAGTATGACACGGTTCCCCCAGAAGGAAAGGGAGGCAGCCCTCTGGTTGAGAAGCCCTGGTTTCGTGCACAACTTTGATATCTGCACCTTCATCCACCCCATTCTCTCATGCTCAGACCTGGCTTGTTTCTAAGACCATTTTTTATACTCTCAACCTCAGACTACATCAGTGTGCAGAATGGTAGCCAGTACCAGGCAACCAGTGGCTTAGAACATCTTTGATGCTACAACAGCATATGGGCCCGAGTGTTTCGAAGCAGTTCCCGCTCCTTGTTATCCAGTTCCCGGGCCTGTTTTACCCTCAGCTTTCTAGATCCTGTGTGCTATTGCTGGCCTGGCCAAACATCAGGCCCTTTTCTGGAACCTTCTTTCAGAAGCGGAGCCAGCGTGGCTCAGAGTAAAAAATGCACTGCGCCACGCACCCCATCCCGCAAGCTTCCCCTCCTGAATCCTTGGGGGAGGGTGAAGGTAAGGAGCCAACCGTTAGAATTTTTGTCCAAGCCTTTGTGGGGACTAAAAGAATGCCTTAGGGGTCCCAGGTGTAGGGAGAGCCTCCTGTCTCCTCGTTGCATTGACCACCATACGGCACGGGCACTCTCGGGAAAATTTTAGGAGCCCTGGTGGAGATACAAGTTGCTGATGTGCATTTGATGACTAGATTGTACAATGTTTTGCAATAAAGATGTTTAGCCTTAAGACCCTTGAATGGAACTCCAGCTGGGATGGAGCTGCCAACACTCCCCCTCCTCCCTCCTCACGTCGTGTTGCTTAAAGAGGAGCCCACCGAGGGCACACTCAGACCCCAGGGTAGCCTCTCCTCTGTCACTAAATTGTACTGCCTTCTCGCTCGCTTCAATACCAATACTTTCACCAGCTCTTGTGCCCTCCAGCTGGAGGGGATTTCACTGTCCCCTCAACACCAACCACAGCCATCAGAAAGCACCATTTTCTCACACAAGGTATTCATGTTGAGAAGGTTTGATTCCCACTCCCCCCCCCACCACACACAGTTCAAAAGAATCAATGTGAATTTGCAGCTTAAATTAGTTTCAAATGAAACTTCTTTCACACGCGAGCAAATGAGACTTATTCTGGAACCTCCAGAACTGGACTCGAGTGCCCTGCGGGTGCCAGACCTGGTGGGTGCCCTCCCCGCCCCGCCATTAAACTTTTCTTAGACCCATTGTCTCTTTATCTGTGACTTCGGAGTCGGTCAACGGAGCTACCGGTTGTTCAATGAGAAGTTCACGGATCTTGTATCAGGATATGAACAATGAGAAAGATCTTCATGAAGATGCACCCTCCCCCCGCCCCAATGAATGTATTCTCTTAATATTCAGACGTTGTATTTGTGCATCAGTTGGAGACAGCCCGCATCGGACATTTCACCAGTGCCGTAAGGACACTTCTACTCCTGAGCAGTTCGTCAATCTGGGGCTTCTCCTTATATTGACACTCTTTCCATCGAGTCCCGCCAAATCCTTCACTGGGTTTTTCTTTTTCCTTCGCATCTGCCACTTTGTCCAAATGAGCATGAATAGACAGAAGTGCAGATGAGCTGATACTATGTTTATGGTCAGCTAAGGATGCTTCCAGAAACTCCAGGGTGTGTGTGCAGCTTGGGAACAATAAGGAATATGCGGGCCCCTCCATTGATGATATACCCTTCTCAACATTTTTAAACAAGCACAAATGATATTTGTAAAAAAAAAAAAAAAAAGTTTAATTTTATTTATTATGGTAATAAACTATTTTATACATGATACTTGCTTTTGCCTTTTCTTACATAATTTTAAGGCACTGAATTGGGTGCTCTGACCTAAGATGACAGAACAAGGAATGGTACTTTCTATTCCTTCTCAAGAGCTTGGGAGGCCCTAATTTGGAGAGTACAGTTTTTTTTAAGATTTTATTTATTTATTTGACAGACACACACACAGAGCAGGAACACAAGCAGGGGGAGTGGGAGAGGGAGAAGCAGGCTTCCCGCGGAGCAGGGAGCCCGATGCGGGGCTCCATCCCAGGACCCTGGGATCATGACCTGAGCCGAAGGCAGACGCTTAACGACTGAGCCACCCAGGTGCCCCTGGAGAGTACAGTTTTGGGGACCTTAGGATTCTAGAGACCCCAAGGTTGTGTGTGTGAGTACAGCACAGCGAGAGAATGGTTGTGAAGGTGGTTTGCCCTGTGATCCAGAAACAGGGCTGTGTCTGCTCTTCAGACGTCCCGAGATGCCTTCAAAGCTGGCATTGATTCAACATGTTGATTTAACACGTATCTGAACGTGACCTCCCAATTAGAAGTGAACTTTTACATTTTAAACAGTTTGGGTTGAAATATGTTTAAGATATATTAATGCTTCCCTGCCTTTTAAAATAGAGTGTAAAAAACATAACAATCTTTTTGGAGTGATTCCACATCAACCATATGAGTTCTGATCTGTGCTTTAATTCACGGATGGTCTCAGAAGCTAGTAAGGTAGAGGACTGCTTGCCCCTAAATGAACTAGTCCTATATACCAGCACTCTTGGTTTGGCTGTGGTTTTATGTATTTATTTGACACAGAGAGACACAGCGAGAGAGGGAACACAAGCCAAGGGGGAGTGGGAGGGGGAGAAGCAGGCCTCCCGCGGAGCAGGGAGCCCAATGTGGGGCTCGATCCCAGGACCCTGGGACCATGACCTGAGCTGAAGGCAGACACTTAACGACTGAGCCACCCAGGCGCCCCTTTAATAGCTCCAGAACTATTAAAAAGCAAGTTTTAATACTTGCTTTAATAATTGTTTCCTGCTTGTGGTGAGATTCTCCACGGGACTGTCAACCTTTCTTACTTCATGCCAGTGGACCGCATTTCAAGAAGGGCACTTTTCTTTTGTAGACAGAACTTAATTCAGGATGAGGAATCTGTGATCTGCAAGCCAGATTCGGGCCTCTGCTTGATCTCATGGGGCCATAGTATGAATACAGCATTTTTAATGGTGTCCTCTCCAACCTATTATTTCATTACACCGCAGAAAAGCATAATAAAAATAAATGAAAGGTGATAGTATTTAAAATTCCAAGTGATTGATATTCATTCAAAAGTCTCACCTAATGAAGCATTGAATATTGTTCTTTATATATCCTCAATAGTGAAAAAAAATCTCTCTTCGTGAATATGATTTTTATAATTAGTCAAAAGGACTAGTAATACAGAGCTAAGTAATGAACACTACATTCTGGGTGTCAAAGGGGTGTCAGTTATTGGGATTTTGCTGGTTTGTTTTAAAATAAAACAATTTCCCTGAAGAAGGGCCTCAGGTTTCTCAATGCCCACTGAGGAAGGCCAGCACTGTCAAGATAATCTGGCTTCTCAATAGTTGGTCCTATTGTGTGGATATGTTCTGGTACATTTGTTAGAAAACAAACTCATTATGGTTAATTTCTATATGTAGTCAATAATTACTATTTTAAATAAGTGAGCAGTCACAATTTCTTTAAGGCAAACCCCCATCCCACTAAATTACCATCTTGTATAGATGTATAGATCATTATACAATTAGATATGTGACGGATATATTTTCTTTCTAGGCCTGCAGTCTTTAATAGAACAAAAGGCTTTCTGCTGTCACTTTAAACAAATTAATCTGAAGGAATAATAAAATACTTTGAAGTCTTCTTGCACGGTCCCAAGAATTCGTCAAAATGACCAAGAAGGGTTGGCTGTCCTTCAGATCGTGCTTGCAGCTCTCTGGCCTGCCCACAGAGCTCGGTTGAGGTCAGAGGATCCTGGGGCTAGAAGTGACCTTAGGACCTTGTCTAGTTGTTTTCCAGCCCCACGCCTGAAGCTGCCCAGGGCTGATGGCTTGTGCAAAGTGACACGTCAGATGCTCCTCAGCTGGAACTGCTATGTCTTCCCAGGTACTTCAAGAATCTTTCATTTAAAGCAAATCCAAGCTTTTACTCCACATGCGTGAAGAGACATCTATTATCATTTTCCTATTACAGTTGGAGAATAGCAAGAGGTTAAAGAAAGAAAACAATGGTCCTAGATAACCCACATGTTGCTTAATCAGGCCTCAAATTATCACATACTAATTCCCGAGAACCACTCTAAATCATGTAATAGCTTAAAAGAAATTCAGGGTTATTACTTCCAAATATATTCACCAATTCTTCCAATATAAGTTGAATGAATGAATAAACCTATTTGTTTTTACATAAATGGTGTCTCTGAAGAGTTCAAAATTCTTTGTATTGCTTACGTATGTACATACATCAGACGCTTGCCTGCAATCATCTTCACGCCCCTGTGTGTCCTTAACCAGCCCCTTCCTTCCATGTGAACTTCAGCCAGACTCCCTGTGGCTGGCCACAGTTCCTGAGCTGGTGTTAGTCCATGATCCTGTACTACAGTTACCGGAGTGCTCACTCTTCCCAGTGCCATTCCCTCCTTGAAACTCCCCAGCACCTTGGAATCACCTGCCCGGGCCTCCCGGGCCCTTACTCAGCCAGCTCCTGAGGCCACTGCTGTCAGCCTGCCTGCCCCTCTGGGTCTGTTCCCTGCAGCAGTCAACCTGGGGTAGGCCCGCTCCCCACCGCCTGCTCCACCCACATCTGCTCTTCCGGGCAGAATGGGTAGGAAGAAAGGATGTCAGCAAGATGGCCAGTCCTGCATTCCAGGAGTATGAATCCCATTGAGTTAAAAGCCACGGCCAGGACACAAGGACCACACCAGATAGCAGATGTGAGATGTGTGGCCAGACCAGGTCCAAGGGAACCTTTCATTCAACAGCAATTTTATCCATGTGTTTGAGATGTACTAAGTTCTCCCATAATGAGGTACAGTATGGATCAAACTTCCAGGCTTCTTCACATACCACTTGCCCTCTCAAAAAAAAGAAGAAAAAAAAAAAAATCCAAAGCCAAACAGATATACTCAGCATTATCTACCACTTGGGGCTATTTAGTGGCCTGTCACCCACTTTCCAGAGGAGTGAATAAGAGCTATAGGTGTTTAAATTTTAAGCATTTTCTTCAAAAAACATTCAAAATGATTCTACAAAAATGTGAATTATCAGTGTGACAGAAAAGGCTCCATTTTATTTGAAACAAAACAAAACAATGTAAACCACTGAGTGTACACCAGTGAGCAGGAAGCTGGGGGCTTCCTTGTGTGGAGAGGAGAAAAGACCCCAGGAAACCATCCCTACCCTTTGTCACTTGCCTGATAGCACCTGTCTGTGGACGCGCTAGCTCATGGTTCCTTAATTCTGCTTCTTCATTGAGAAACGAAGATTAACTGTCTGGTAGAGGAACTGCCATGTTTATACTTCTCTGCAAATCTAGGGAACAAGCATCCAAATGTCGATCACAGTGACGGTGTTCCAATAACAGATCTCCTTAGGTACTGGCCCCTTGGAACACTATAGGACAGGTCGTGTCTTCTTTGACTGGGCAATGAGAAACTTGACTGTGGCTTTGTCTCCTCCCTGCTACGGAGCTGAAGTGGGAAGCTCAGACCTCAGTGCTGGTTCTAGAGACCACACTGCAGGACATGGGGAAGAGGTCACTTAGATGTTAGCAAAATATTTCAGAAATACGGCCAGTGGAGGACAGGCCTTATCACTAATCAGGACTTCTATGCTCCAATTGATGTCTATTGCATTTAATTCTTGGTAAAGTAGAAAGAACCTGAAGGGCCCCTGGGACTGGGTTCTAGACCACAATGTCACCATGTGCAGCTGGGCAAGATAATACTGCTGTGGACCCCTGCTTACTCAACAGGAAAATGATGGGGCTGGGGGAGATGAGCTCTGGGTCCCCAAAGTTAGAAGCCTCACTGGTTGTCAATTTTCTATGAGAGCTCAAGCTTCCAGTCTTGGAGTGAGGTAACTTCAACAAAAGATGGGCAGATGAAGCACTGGTTCCTTGGAGGTCATCTTGGTGTGCGAGGTCAGGGTGAAGCACCATTTGCCTTGGAGGCCAGCAGGAAGGGCTGGTGCCGGCCGGGCGGCATTAGTCCACTGAGTATGTCTGGGCCCAGGCGATGCCCACGTGGGAGTAGCAGTAGAGGAATCCCAGGACAGAGAGGGTCACATATGGCCAGCCTGCAGGGGGAGGACAGAGATGGCAGAGTGGTTAGATACTCCTGGGGCAGGACCTTCCAGAGGTGCAAACTGTCCCCCTTTGGGGAAGGCAACTCAAGAAACAACATGGGCCTCAGTTGACACATCAAGACACAGACCTCCTGGAAAGTGCGCTCTACCTGAAACACCAACAACTTGAACTCTGCATTCCCACTGGGGCCAGCATAAAATGAGGGGTGTGCTCTCTCAAATGGAAATTAGGTTTAGAAATAGGACACGCTTTTAAAGAATATGTACTTAGAAAACTAAAGTAGTTAATAATCAAAAAAGAAGAGAAGTCCGTAAGACCCACAGTAAATCTCAAAATATAGATTGGCCGTTATATGGAATTGAGTGCCATCTGTAAGCACACAGAAGGGAAAGCCTAAATTAAACATTTGCTTTCAAAACTCAAAGCTTTTAGTGGTTCCTTCTGTAAGTACTTGTCTTAGAATATCTGATGTTCTTTTCTTTCTCCTCCTCCTCCTCCTCAATTAATAGCCCTCTCTGCTGAGTGTTTGTCACTTAATGACTTCCATGTCTTCTACATGTTTCACTTACTCAACCATTTATTAGGAGCTCTGGAGATCCAGAGATGCTGTGGAAGGTGCCAGATGTCAAAATAGGTGATCCTACTCCAGCTTGGGAAAGACACACACACACTACTGGGATTTGTGAACCACGTAACATGTGCTAGATAATGATGTAGACAGAGCAAATTTAAACTGGGCCATGTGGGGTAAGCAAGAGTTTGTCAGATGGAAAGGGACAGGGATAAGCGACCAGAGAGACCACCTCACGTGTGAACATGGCCCGTGGGCCACCCCTGGAACAGGGATCATGTGACTGTGGCTACTGCCCAGGAAGGGGCAGGCAGGGCAGCGCTAGAAGCAGGGAGGAGGCGGTGGGAGCCACTGAGGGTACCGCGGTTCTTCAGGCTCTCTTCCTGCCATGTCAACAAGCAGCTGCGATTATTATTACTGGAAGTTCAAGGACTACGGCATAGTGGTTAAGTGCGGGCTCTGAGGTGAACCTGGATGCCAGTTCAAACCCTGGCTCTGCCGCTTGCCAGCTGTGAGACCCGGAGCAACCTGACGAACCCCAAGTGTAAACCTAGGAGAGGGACAGAGCACCTTTATTAATAGTCTTCATAGGACGCCATGGACTGATTGTGTCCCCCCACATTCGTGTGTTGAAGCCCTAACCCCCAGTGCATATTTGGAGGGGGGCCTTGGGGAGGTAAATAGGTTGAGATCAGATCATGAGGCATCGCGATGGGGATTAGCGCCCCCATAAGAAGGGACACGCAGGGCTTGCCTCCTTGCTCTCTGTCATATAGAGACGTGGTGAGAGAAGGTGGCCATCTAAAAGCCAAGAAGAGGGGCCTCCCCCAGAACCAAGTCAGCCGGCATCTTGATCTGGGACTTCTTCAGTCTCTGGAACTGTGAGAAACAAGGGTCTGTTGTTGAATCCATCCAGTCCGCGGTACTTTGCTAGGGTGGCCCGAGTTGACTAAGATATAAGGAAGGAGTGTACAACACGATGTAAAGGCCTGCACGATGCCTGGCCTCGGATGGACACTTAGGAAAGGTAGTAATAACACTGGGGCGAGGACACAGAAGTCCTTCTCCACCAAGATGAGAGTGGTAACAGGGAAGTCCAGCCCTGGTCCTCCTCTGAGCTCCTGTTTTCAACTTGCTCCTTTACTGGCTTGGCACAAGAATTCTCCTAGGCCTTGAAGGCAAGAGAAGTGAGGGGAGCAGAGGACTTCCAAGAGCCTGGCTCTAGGCCCAGTCCTACAGTCCTACCTCCTGTCTGCTAGTCAGCCAGTGTGTTAGCTTCCTTTGGCTGCTGGGAGCAAATTACCACAAACCTCAGTGGCTTCCAACAGAAATGCATTCTCTCCTACTTCTAGATGCTGGAAGTCTGAAATCAAGGTGTTGGCAGAGCCACCTTCTCTCTGAAGGCTCTTAGGGAGACTCCTCCCTTGCCTCTTCTAGCTTTGGATGACCCCAGACATTCCTTGACATATGGCAACATACCTCCAATCTCTGCCTCTGTCTTCATGTGGCCTTCTTCCCTGGGTACTTCTGTGTCCTCTCCTCTTAGAAGGACACCAGTCATGGATTTAGGGCCTACTCCAAATCCAGGATGATTTCTTCTCAAGACATTTAGCTAATGACATCAGCAAAAACCCTATTTCCAAATGAAGTCACATTCTGAGGTTGCAGATGGACATGAATTTGGGGCAGGGTACTAATCGGCCCAGTACAGCCAGGTACTTTTTCAAGCTTCAAAAGGGACCCATCCTGCCTGGTGGCCCTCAGACACAGATGCCAGGGGACCTATTGACATCTGCTCCTCAGTGAGCTCAGGAAGCAGAAATTAGGGAGGGGGCTTCAGGCATGGGGAGAGGACCCAGACTTCAGCTGTGTTTAGGATGATGCCTTGGCAGGTGTTTGGTAAACACAGAACCCAGAAGCTGGCTCTGGAGGTGGGAGAATGGGGATATTTTATTTACACAAAGCTGGGCCTGGGTCATTGGACAGCTGTGCTTGGCTCTGCGGCTGTCCAGGGACATCCCTGTGAAAGCTCCTGGAGAGCACACAGAACTGTAAGGAGGAACATCCCCAACACCGCCCGGAAGTGTGGCATATGCATGTTCAGTTTGGACCCCAGTTAGGCCCTGAAAATTCCCTCTACCATTCACTGTTTGCCATGCACAGAGGCGGATAGACAGCAGTTAGGAGACTTGTAATCCTGACTCTATTATGAGACCCTAAGAGGGGCTCAGTTTCTCCATGTACACCACGGCAGGTCAAAAATAAACAGAAGCACATGAAATAAGATCGCAGATTTGGTAGTGCTTTTAAAAAGTGTTTCAGAGTGGAACATAAGGAATAGCATGGAGGACATTAGGAGAAGGAAGCAAAAAAAGAAGGGGGGGAAATCGGAGGGAGAGATGAACCATGAGAGACTGTGGACTCCGAGAAACAAACTGAGGGTTTTAGAGGGGATTGGGGGTGGGGGGATGGGTTAGCCCGGTGATAGGTATTAAGGAGGGCGCGTACTGCATGGAGCACTGGGTGTTAGACGAAAACAATGGATCGTGGATCACCACATCAAAAACTAATGATGTCTTGTATGGTGACTAATGTAACATAATGAAATAAAATGAAAAAAAATAAAAAGTGTTTCAGAACTGCAAAGAATTCCTATGGGACCACTTGAGAAGTCAATGTATATAGTCTCTGTGTGAAGCTGTTAGGTAAACAGCTCACTGGCCCTTTTAACAGGAGCGTTCCCCTACAGACATAACCCCGGTGCGTACCAGATGGCTGCCGAGGACCTCTTACCTTTTCCTGACCTCAGGAGTAAGCTACGTGATGACAAGGGAAAGACAGACGCCACATGTGCCCCTTGCACAGCATCCAGCCAGTATTCCGTAAGCATCTGCTGTGTGCCTGGCCCGCCCGAGACACCAGGCCTCAACATCAACCTCTGCGGTTTGCCGGCTACAGGCACAGGGCCTTTGACCGTAGCAGCTGCTACCCAAGCACCGATGTGGTCCAGGTGTTGCCGGGGCGGGGAGGGGATGCTTGGGGCACAGCCTCCTCTTCATCAGGGTTCAGATGAGCACAGAAAAAGAAACTGGGATGGGCTGTCATTCTGGCAACATTTGAGGGCTGCTATGATGTAGTCATCCCGGCTTGTCAGCCCTTAACAAAAATGATGGCGTCAAAAGGGTTCTGTCCTGACAAATGAACACCGACCTCATCCTGCAGGCCTCACTCCCCCTGGCCTTTCCCCGCTCTGTGTTCTCCTTCCAGGCTCTCCCTTCTCACCAGGATTTCCAATCCACACTGTCCAGTCAACTCCCATATCCCAGCAACCCCGACCCCATGCATGCACACACATACACATTCACATACACGCGCGCACACACTCTCTCTCACACACACACACACACACACACCATTAATGTGGCTCATAAAGCCTGGTGGGCAGCATGGTATTGGTCAAAGGAAAAGATCCTCCTTAAGAGAGTACTTTAAGGCCCAAATCCCCCGCATACTGGGTCTATTCATGGCTAGGCCTCCAGATTCAATGATGTGTCCTGGTGGCTTCTGATACCAGACCTCTTAAGATCTAAACAGTTGAACAGTTTTAACGGACAACAACCAGGCAGCATTGAAGATATTATAAAGAGGATGCTAGCAAGTTAGGCAATGTTTGCAAAAGATTGGGTAATATAGCTAATGGGACAGACTATCTGACAGATATAGTTAATGCATACAAGTAGGATACATAGCACCACAGATTCAATTAAGAAGATCAATGTAGGCGGTGTAATAGAGGGAGTTAATAGGGTGTAGGTGGTTGTATCATGATATTGTTAATAGTACACTGGTGAGTTGTATAATAACTACAGCTAATGAGAACAGGTAGGACACAGAGGGAAATGTCTAGAGCTAAAAGAAAGCAAGCAGTGTAATTTTACTTGAGGTTATTATGGCTGAGCGACTTTCTGAGCAATTACATCACTCTGAAAAGATTGGAAAGGCTGAGGCTCAGGAGAGTGAAGGAAAAGACCATCATCATGCAGGGCCATGGAAAGTCAAAGGATATATCACACTGGTTTTCTGGAAAGTGATGGGATAATCAGAACACGCAGCAAGTCTAATGAAAACCTTGTTTAAAAGGTAACATTGTAAAATGATCGCAGCGCCACTGTGGAAAACAGCAAGGAGGTTCCTCAAAAAATGAAACACAGAATTATCACATATATACCCAGAAGAACTGAAAGAACTAGAAGAGATATCTGTGTACCCACATTCACAGCAGCATTACGTACAATAATCAAAAGGTGGAAATAGCCCAAGTGTCCACTCACAGATGAATGGATACACAAAATGTGGTCCATACATACAGTGGAATATTATTCAGCCTTGAAAAGGAAGGGACTCCTGACACAAGCTATA